AGTACAGATACAAATTCTGTAGTACCAAAAAGGGTTGCATGTGTTGTACCAAAAACGGTTACTTGTGTTCGGGTGCCCCAGCTAAAACATGTATTTGTTTCACGGCTCGCCCCAGACCTCTCATCATTGGATATTACGGCTTATATTCGTAACAAAATCCAAGTTGATGATTTGAAGGTCGAATAATTTAAATTTTCTTATGCTAGGAAAGTATTATCATTTAAGATTGGTATTCCTTGTGCTCTTTTTGCATCTGTGTGTTCCACCAGTTTCTGGCCCGAGGGCATATTTGTAAAAGAGTACGAAGCTAAGAGAAAAAAGAATAGTTCAGGGGAAATTTAAAATACCATTAAAGAACCATCCCTAGCGCCCTCCACATCCTCTTCTGTCCCAAAAAACTAGAATCCTCTTTTCTTCTTTGCTATCAGACTACCAGAGGCTTACTTAGTAAGCTGACTAAATTGTATTCGGATAGTTTTTCTTTCCCATATAATATTATGGTATGTACAGAGACCTGGTTAAGGCCGGATATTCTTAGCTCCGAAATTCTCCCGGGTAAGTACACAATTTATAGGCTTGATCGTCAGTCCAGACGGGGAGGTGGAGTCCTGATTGCTGTCGACTCCACCTTTTCGACTGAATTACTAACTTTCGAAGAAGAATTTTATGACATCGAATTCCTAGGTATAAAATTATCGTTTCCCGGTAGTTTTGTATATATTACTTGTTCATATATCCCACCATCATCTGAGTTCCCTATTTACGCAAATCACCTTTCCGTTATTCAGTACATTTCCAAAAAACTGTCAGATCGAAATCAGTTAATAGTATTGGGTGATTTTAATATACCTAGTGCGACATGGTCCCCTGACGAAAACTCTAACATTTTACTTCCTTTAGCGCAGCATGACTTTATTGACGGCTTGCTTGACATTGCGCTATCCCAAGTGAACCATGTTAAGAACTCCTTAGGACGTTTACTGGACTTGTGTTTTGTTTCAAATTCAGAAGGCGTTTGCCTATCAAGAACGTCACCACTTACACAACCGGAAGATCCTTATCATCCAACTCTAGAGCTGACTGTAGACGCAAGAACAGAGCTGAATAAAAAATCCGAAAAGTCGGTTAAACGAATCCGCTGCTTCCGTAAGGCGAACTTTCATCTTTTAAATACTTTTATATCCGGCTATGACTGGTCCTAATTACATTCATGCACTAACGTGGCTAAGGCCGTTAATATCTTTTATAATGCATTGGATTCCTTCTTTTATCTATGTGTTCCGTTATACTATCCGTCAATTTCAAATAAACCTCCGTGGTTTAATAAAGAGTTGTCCCACCTAAAAAATATTAAGTCCAATCTGCCTTCTCTCTGTACCTAAGGGCTCGGTCAAATTTTATCGTGCTTAACGCCCGGAGTTATAAAAGCTATTTGACTCGTTGTAGGGTCCAATTTTTACAAGATCCAAAACAGTTTTATAATTTTGTTAACACTAAGCGTAAATCAGCCTGTTACCCTGCATCACTATCATTCGAAAACTCTACGTCAAATTCTGATCAGGCAATTGCCGATCTATTTGACCAGTTTTTCAAGACAACATATTCTGTTTCATCCCGTCCAAATCCGTCTTATTCAAATGCCATACCCAAGTCGAACTTGATTTTGTGTCCGAGGTTAAGCGAAAGCTCCCTTCTTTTGGATATCCATAAAGTTAAGCCTGTCTATTCACCGGGTCCGGACGGAGTTCCAGGCTGCGTGCTGAGGTACTGTGCTGAAACTCTGTGTAGACCGCTGTACAAATTGTTTACCTTGTCTTTAAAAACATCTCAAATTCCACTTATTTGGAAGGAGTCATTTGTCGTTCCCCTTCATAAGAAAGGAAATAAATGCAATACAAGTAATTACAGAGGCATATCAAAATTATCCGCCATCCCAAAGCTTTTCGAAAACACTATTACACCCCATTTGCAACATCTTTGTAGATCGATTATATCTCCATGTCAACATGGATTTATAAGGCGAAGATCTACGACGACAAACCTCTTAGAGCTAACGTCTTTTGTAATAAATGGCTTTAGAAAGAACATGCAGACTGACGTAGTTTACACTGATTTTAGTAAAGCGTTTGATTCAGTAAATCACTCGCTTCTTGTATTAAAGCTAGACTTATTAGGGTTTCCATGTGATCTTCTAACATGGATCTCAAGTTATCTGAGTGGTAGGACTCAACGAGTTCTCTTTAAAAACTCGATCTCTGATTTGATCCGAGTTACTTAAGGCGTCCCACAAGGAAGCCACCTTGGCCCACTTCTTTTTACTTTATTTATAAACGATCTCCCTCTAGTCTTGACAAAGTCGTGTGTCCTCATGTACGCAGATGACTTTAAGTTATGCCTGCAATATGACAAAATTTTCATCAGTTCAGACTTACAATCGGACCTAAATGCTTTTCAACATGGTGTTGTAAAAATCTTTTGGATTTAAATAGCGCTAAGTACAAAGTAATGACATTTTTTCGGGTGAACCCACAATATGCCACTTTTACGCTGGGTATTTGTCCGTATACGCTGGGTGGTTGCGCGTTGTCTAGAATTACGCATGTTGATGACCTTGGCGTCCGCCTTGACCCTAAACTTAAGTTTTGTGACCATATTACTTCTATGGTCCTCAGTCCTCAGTAACTTTTTATTATTTGCTCTACGGGGCCTTAACTGGAATGCAAGCCTTATTTTACCATCCTACTCTAGTAGACTTCTCCTAATTAATATACCATCCTTAGTAAACCGTAGAACGATGCTTGGAACAACTTTTATCTATAAACTTATTCACGGGGATGTGGAGAGTCCCGAGTTACTGGGTCGCATAAGCTTCTCCGTGCCCAATAGAATTACCAGGAACTATGTTCCTCTTTGTAGATCTAACTTTGATATGCATGAACCGTTTAGAGTACTGTGTAACGACTATAAAGACTATACCACATTATTTCTACTACCGACTCTTTGCCAAGCCTAAAATCATTAATTTTATCTTACCTAGCACAAAATTAGTATTAGTATTAGTCTCGTACGTATTTCTAATCTTGTCTGTCCGCTTCTGCATTGTGCTTTTAACTTCTAGGCTTCTATTAGGCTCCGCGCGTAACAAGCACTGCTTGGTGTCGTAAGGGCCACTTGTTTGCGCTGATAATAGTGCATCAACGTCCGAAAAAAAAATAAAACTATTTATCCAATTGGTTCCAAATTTTAATACGATTTTCTATGCATATATAGCTATAGCATGAACTAGGATAGTGAAGATCTTCTTTACTTTTTACCTTGATTTGTGGCTGAAAAGAAGGCGATTTAAAAACAAAAAATGTTCAAAGGTCCGCCATTTTGTAAATTTTTCTCCGAATTCATGCTATAGCCATACATATACTCTTCCTAATCCCGTTGGAATTTTTGGTTTCAGATGTTCCAGTGAGCTTATATCCACTACGCCGACGAAAATAAAAAAAAAATTATGTTTAATTTTTTTCTTATTATTTAAGTCTTCAATTAAATGGATGCAAAGTTGCAAGCCTAAAAAATAATATATGTTCATTTTCCAGCCCATTGAAAATCGTCAAAATTTGATATCGAGAATGGGGGGTCCCCTTAATTTGAAATATTTATATATGTATGTATATATGTATGTCAGAATTAAAATTGTTAGTACATGCAAATTATTATTTTCTTGGTTAGAATGCTCACCATCTACCGATTCTTAACGAATGCAAAAAGCTGAAAAATGGGCCAAACACAATTAAAAAAACGCCACAGATTAACTTTAAACTTTTACCAATTAAAAAAACGCCACAGATTAACTTTCAACTTTTAGCACTCTATATCTGCTAGACCAATTCGGGGCTTGAAACTTCCTTTGGGTCCATCTCAGCGTAACAGCAGCAACAGCAACAGAGGGGTCGGCAGAAACTTCCAACGTAGTTCCAAAAAAGAGTTAGTTGCCGTACCGACGCGACTTTATTGTTTTTTGGTGTAAATTAGTTTGCACAATCGCGAACACTCACCATGAAAAGTTAAATACTATTTTGTATTAACAAAAACGCCGCTTTGATTGGAGAAGCGACAAATTTTTATTTGCGAAAACTAGCGACGACGAAATGGAGTGTGGTGATGATCGGATTCGATTTAACACTGGTATTTTAATTTCAATAATCATCTCTTGGAGCGAGAGACGGGGCGAATTCGCAAGAGCGAATGAAAGCTTTATTAGCTCCCGCTTTCGCCTTAAAACTAGAGATGCCAATGGGTCTAAAAACTGCATCGGCAGTATTTCAGAGGTTTGTAAACAAGATTTTTGAAGATCTGATTAGAGACAACAAAGTAATTGTATACATGGACGACATAATGATCGCCAGCAAGGATACCGAAGAACATTTACAGGTTTAAAAAAAAGTGTTTCTCAGATTAGTTCAAACAAATTAGAATTACGTATGGATAAATGCGTGTTCCTTCAGACTAATATTAAATATTTAGGATTTATCATAAACGAAGAGGGTATCAGAGCTGACGACAAGGGGATATAAGCCATAAAACATTTTCCAACACCAGACAAAACAAAGATTAAAGTTTTCTTCAAAGTTTTCTTGGCTTGTGTTCATATTTCCGTAGATTCATAAAGGATTTTTCAACATTAGCCAAAAAATTATATAATCTTCTCAGAAAAGATGAAAAATTTAAGATTGGCGAAAAGGAAATTAACTGTTTTTTAAGTCTTTAAGATAAGCTAGTGCAGGCACCGATTTTGGCAATTTACAATTACAAAGACGATGTGGAACTACACTGTGATGCCAGTGCTCTTGGTTTTGGTGCTGTTTTGTGCGAAAAGAAAGAAGACGGAAAATTGCACCCCATCTTATTAGAGGTGGAGAAAAATCGATGTTAACATCGATGTAATCGATGTTTTCAAAACATCGGTAACATCGATGTTTGGCAAGCCATCTCTAACTGCGCATCTGAGGAAGAAAACGTGTAATTGTAAGTAAATTTGTATTCATTTATTTTTTATAAATTACTCATATTTTGTTTTATATTAGTGTTCTGTTGGTGGTGCTGGATGAAGTTGTGGAGTGGACGGTCATGGACAGATACCTGAAACGTAAGTAATGTTAATATAAAAGCTGGTGAAATATGTGTGCATCTACAAATGTACATATACATACATACATACATATGTATGTATGTACGCCTGCTTGCATGCAACCGCATGACATGTACATTTGATATATGATATGTATATAATATTTTATATGATATTTATATGAAAATATTACTTTTTTAGGAACATCAAATTCAGAGGAGAATGTGGAGGAGCCAGCTCAAAAAAAGAAGCGTGAAGCTTCCATTGCGTGGGATCATTTCAACAAAACGGCTGAGAAAACACACGGTGTGTGTAAGTATTGTGGGAAAGCGATACGCACATTGGGAAACACAACAAACTTGCTCAACCACCTGAATCACGTCCACCCAGAACGCATAAAAAATATCAAGGGCAAAAATCCTACAACCGCGTTGGATGTGTTTGCGGGAAGGGCCACGGTTTTTTATACAAATGATTCGGCGAGGAAACGCAAACTTGACGAGATGGTACTGAATATGATAGCTGTCGACGTTCAGCCATTCAGTTGTGTCGAGGATGAAGGTTTTAGTGCCCTTCTTAAAAAGATGGATCCTCGATACAAATTGCCAAGTAGAACATACTTGCGGGATGTTTATTTGCCAAGAGAGTACGAAAAATGCATAGAAACGCTGAGAGGAATTCTAAACAGTGTTGATCATCTGGCACTAACAACTGATTTGTGGACATCTCGAGCCAACGAGGGCTACATAACCATTACATGCCATTTCATATCCAATAATTTCAAATTGGAATCGGCAATTTTATCAACACAACATCTTCTAACGCCAACAAATCACACCGCTGCAAATATAGCAAAAACGATAAAATCGGTGCTAGATGACTGGGCGATAGCGCAAAAAGTTGTATGTCTTGTGTCTGATAACGACGCTTCCATGAAAAAGGCGTGCGTTTCATTAAAATACAAACACTTGCCGTGTGTGGCCCACACTATTAACCTGCTGGTCCAGGACATATTAAAACAGCCAATATTAGAGGAAATTATAAGCAAATGCAAGACTGTTGTATCGTTTTTTAAAAGAAGCTCGACTGCGTATGCAAAATTCAAAGCAGCACAAAAAACAGAAACTCCATATGGCCTGGTTCAAGAAATGCCGACGCGCTGGAATAGCGCATACGAAATGATCAAGCGAGTAATTCTGACAAACGAATATATTAGTGTAGTATTGGCTGTATCTCACAATGCCCCTTCACCGTTGTCTGCCGAAGAAATTGACGTTTTAAAAGAGATTTCGATATTGCTTGCTCCATGCGCGGATGCAACCTTGTCGGTTTCGACGAACACCAATGTCTCAATTTCGTTGATCATTCCTGTAATTTGTGAACTTTTCCACAAAGTTAATGGATTCGATTTCAAAACAATTGAAGGAATCGCTGCCGCAGATTACATGAAGATTCGTCTAAGGGAAAGATTGTTTGCATATGAAACTAGAACGATTCCTCGTATCGCAACAATTCTCGATCCGCGATTCAAGAAGCAAGGGTTCCTTGCCCAATCGAACTCGGAGGAAGCGGCCAAGGCTTTGCAGGAAGAGCTGAACTCCGTTATGACAACAACTCCACGACCGCAGCCAGCACCACCAACAGAGGAACCTTATATGATCTTATATTTATCCAAACGCACATCCGTTGCAGAATCAAAATATCACAGCTTCGAGCTGGAGACAATAGCCTTTATTTACGCATTGCGCAGATTTCGGATATATTTGTATGGACAACGATTTAAGATTATTACTGATTGCAATTCTCTCACTTTGACGCTAGGTGGGCGTTAGAACTCCAAAATTATGATTACGAGCTGAAACATAGATAAGGTAATAAGATTTATGTAACATGTTGACGCTCTTAGTAGATGCACGAATATTTTGATAGTAGAATCAAATACGTTTGAGGATAATTTAATAATCTGCAGAAACAACCTAGACTTCGAAGAGTAAAGACGTGCTATAGGCAAATCCACGCAAGTGTTATCGGCAATGATTATCTACCAATTTTTTCAAAACAAATAAGACCACAAAGCAAACTCGCCAACTAAAGCAAAAACAATTTCTGCATCTGAACAGTTACAAGAGTGCAAGTCCATCGGGCAGCAGCCCAACAACAACAACCATGACACGACTACCAGACATAAACCAAACCACACCGCGAGAAAAAACACCTTACTATACACCCAAATTCATCTTCATTTAAAGAAAAAACAAAAATGCATCCATTGAAAAAGTTCATCATCAAAAAAGATATTGACTTTACATGCTGCGGGGAAGTAACGTCAGTTTCAAAGACCAAAGCAGGTACTCTTTTTGTCCAAAACAAAGACCTACTCCAAGCTCAATAGCTAATGAAACTCACTGAATTCCACGACTTTGAAGTTGAAACATCAGAACACAAAACACCTAACTATTCAAAAGCAGTCATCTATTCCAATGACTTCCGATACATAAGCAAATTCTCAATGAACTCAAGGCGCAAAACGTCACCGAAGTAGATAAAACACTCAGAAAGAAAGATAATAATCTTGAAGAAACCGGACTCATCATTCTCACCTTCGCCACCACCACCTTACCCGAAACCATAAATATTGGATATGAACGTGTCAAAATTCGATCACACATTCCTCGATCTCTTTAAAGCCGAAACTGCAAAAAATGTAATCACAAACGCCTGCAATAACGGCAAAACTTGCTCTATCTGCTCTGAAGTTCACTCCCCCGACGACGAAGATTGCACCAAGCCTAAATTCTGCATCAACTGCAAACACCTCGACACCTATTAAAACAATAGAAAATGTTGATTTCAAAAGCGCCACAATAATCTACATTCAGCGTCACTTCCAGAGTTCCACTCCTTACTCCCAAATGGCATCACAAGCTCCTTCAAATTCTAACGCCCCAGTTCTGGATAAATCGGACACTCATGAGATCACGACCTACGACGACATCATACAACCTACCCCACAAACTCCAAGCGAGGACAACATCGAAATGCATATAACAGAATCTAACACAACCAGTAAGAACACTCTAATATCGGACTGCACTCTCAGAAGCCACAACAAAGAAAAAACCAACCCTCTGGCTATACGAAAATCGAAAACAGTGAATACAAACCAACTAAAACACTCAAAGTAACCCAAACAACACTGCAAAGGAACGATATTAATTAATCACTCAAACTAGTACTAAGTAATACACCTCTCTTTACATTTAATGCTTTAAATCCATGGATATAGAAATAGCAACATCGAACTCGAAACCCTGATCAAGACCATTAACCCCCTAATTCTTGCCCTACAAGAAACACACATAACTTTAACATTCTACGCATTCCTATTAACTACACACACGCCACTGATGTAAATGTGGTCGCACTTGCCCTCCCAACCTGTGATCATCTTCCTCTAGCGTTTGCTGATGATCCCTTTCATCCTACCACCGCGTAGACATCAGCTGAGTTCAGATAGTTTAGTTTAGTTGGTTTTCATTATTCAAATTCAACACAATTTAATATTCAGTCTAAATCTTGGGTTTAACATTATAAAATAATTCTAATGAATATAAGCAATGATATGGTATGGTATAATATGGTAGAGTAAGTAAATAAATTTGTGACAAAATAAATGTAAGAATATAATTTTTAGAACGCTCCAAGCGTGGTGACTTATTTTTATAAAAATTTTGTGCACTTTCTTTCTAAATTATTTTTATTTATTTTTTGTTTTATTTAAATACTTCATTAATTTTCTGTTATAATGGCGTTCTCACAACTCTTGGCAAATTTCTTATCAAAATTCAATGTACAAATTTCTTCTTTCATTATGTAAATAGGACAGGTAAACATAAGTAAAGCTTGCGCAATATAACTCACAAATTTGATCCAGATCGAGCGACGAAAGATCGATCTCCCCATGGCTGAAAGCTGAAAGAAATAATTAAAGGTCGCATAGGGAGCTTTGTTTGCTACTCGAAAACCATAAAACAATAAAAAAAAATGTAATTGGCCAAACGCTGTGTAGAATGCAACTTAATGCAAAAAGAGCATTGTTATTGTTTGGTCAGAGCTTTAGGCTTAACAGCGCGCATATGCATACACTGGAAAAATTTAGGTTAGATAAACAGGAAATATAATATAAGCATATTTTAGGAACTTCAAACTAATTTAAATTAATTGATTCTTGAAATGATCATCACTAAAATAAAATTATATCTACAAAAAAAATTTATTTGCGAACAGGAACATGCTGCTCCTCAGTGGAGGCTCAGAATTTTGTCTTGGCAGGTTATACAACAAGGGCAAAAGAAATAAGAATAAAATTTTCATAGACTCTCTCCATATTTAAAAACGTGTGGATTTTCCATGTGAGAAGGGTTCGATCGCGAGCATCGTGGTGATATATATAACGGCTGCAGGTTGGCGACGGTCTTGGGGATTAAATTTCCTCCGATATTTTCTTGCAGCAACGGGTTAATGCCGGCGACTTGTTTAGGAGCGTTGATTTAGCTAGCTACATAAGTTCTCTGCTCTCCCCTTGCCCGAGGCTTAGGTGCACAACCTACTAAAAAGCACTGTGGTTAGGTTTGGCCGATTCGCACTATTCACTCATTTACATACCTCCGGATCCTGCCCCTCGAAAGCCTGATTTACTCCCAGAATTCTCAGCCACTTTCAGCAGTCATGAGATCTTAAGCCGGACACGAAGCTATCCCGTGATCCGACTTTTCCAAAATTTGTCCCTGTAGAAAAATTAGGCTAACCACGCGGGTTCACTTTGAATCCCCTTATAACTCACTTTTCTCTGCAAACAACACCTTCCTGCAAGCACCACCGAAAATACCCCTGGCCTGGGGAATTCGACGCGGTGGCACTACTAGCCAAGTTTTCAGCACCAATTTGATTTAAATTTTCACTTTAGCTTCCCGCACAGAGGTTATATTTCACCGTGCCAACGGACACGGACCGGACTGTCGGTTTCGGATGCGCACAAAGTAAAAAGGTCGTCCCAATTGGAATTCGAGCTTTTATCTGTTCGGCTGCAGAGAAAATTCTCCAGGAACGTGGTGCCTAAATTTTTGCGTTTATCCCAATCAGAGCTCAACCGATAGGTCCGACTGGCAACGCTAACGTGGTTGACAACGCTAACGTGGTCGACAACGCTACCGTAATGGCAACGCTAACACAGTGGCAACGTTGGTGCGATCGTGAACAGGTGATAACGCTGGTGCGATCGTGATCAGGTGGCGACGCCTAGTTAAAACTGGCACCAAACCTAGATACTTGCGATCTGGCTACTCGGAACGCCCGCTGTAACGGCTGCAGTAATTTAACAGCTATTTAAACTAACAAAATTTATATTTCTTCGCATGAATTTTATTTTGGGTTCATGTTTTAAAGTCCCTTCAGGGCCCTGCTACACATTTCCCATTGATCTCTCTTGACTTCAACAAGGCCTTTGATAAAATAGGTATCCACTTAGTAATAAAAACCAGCTGAAGGAATGGAAAATAGGAAAACGCATATTAAATTACGTGATTTCGGATATATTTGTATGGAAAACGATTTAAGATTATTACTGATTGCAATTCTCTCACTTTGACGCTAGGTGGGCGTTAGAACTCCAAAATTATGATTACGAGCTGATACATAGATAAGGTAATAAGATTTATGTTACATGTTGACGCTCTTAGTAGATGCACGAATATTTTGATAGTAGAATCAAATACGTTTGAGGATAATTTAATAATCTGCAGAAACAACCTAGACTTCGAAGAGTAAAGACGTGCTATAGGCAAATCCACGCTAGTGTTATCGGCAATGATTATCTACCAATTTTTTCAAAACAAATAAGACCACAAAGCTAACTCGCCAACTAAAGAAAAACAATTTCTGCATCTGAACAGTTACAAGAGTGCAAGTGCATCGGGCAGCAGCCCAACAACAACAACCATGACACGACCACCAGACATAAATCAAATCAAAAACACCTTACTATACACCCAAATTCATCTTCATTTAAAGAAAAAACAACAAGAAAGGAAAACTAACTTCGGACGCAGCCGAAGTTGATATACCCTTGCAGAATATTCTGTAAATTATATTCTTCAAAATTATTCATTTGATGCATTCTTAATACTCATAAAAAGTCCCAACTTCCTAATTTTAAAAACACCAAAGTTATGGCATTTCCAAACGTTCAGTTATATGGCAGCTATAAGATATAGTCGGCCGATCCTTATGGAATTTGGTATGTCGGATTGATTGGTCAAAAATAAAAACCCATACAAAATCCCAACTTCTTGACTTTACAAACACCAAAGTTATGGCACTTCCGATAAATCAGTTATATGGCGGCTATAGGATATAGTCGTCCGATCCTTATGAAATTCGGTAGGTCGGATTAATTGGCCAAAAATAAAGCTCATAGGAAATCCCAACTTCCTAACTTTAAAAACACCATAGTTATGGCTTTTCCGATCGTTCAGTTGTATGGCAGCTATATAATATAGTCGCCCGTTCCGTCTCGTTCCGACTTATATACTACCTGCAATAGAAAGACAACTTTTGGGAAAGTTTCAAGCAGATAACTTTAAAACTGAGGGACCAGTTTGCGTAGAAACGGGCGGACGGACGGAAAGACGGACAGACGGACATGGCTAGATCTCCTGGTGATGCTGATCAAAATTATATATACACTATAGGGTCGGAAATGTTTCCTTTACTGCGTTGCAAACTTTTGACTGAAATTATAATACCCTCTGCAAGGGTATAAAAATGCATCCATTGAAAAAGTTCATCATCAAAAAAGATATTGACTATACATGCTGCGGGGAAGTAACGTCAGTTTCAAAGACCAAAGCAGGTACTCTTCTTGTCCAAAACAAAGACCGACTCCAAGCTCAATGGCTAATGAAACTCACTAAATTCCACGACTTTGAAGTTGAAACATCAGAACACAAAACACCTAACTATTCAAAAGTAGTCATCTATTCCAATGACCTCCGATACATAAGCAAATTCTCAATGAACTCAAGGCGCAAAACGTCACCGAAGTAGATAAAACACTCAGAAAGAAAGATAATAATCTTGAAGAAACCGGACTCATCATTCTCACCTTCGCCACCACCACCTTTCCCGAAACCATAAATATTGGATATGAACGTGTCAAAATTCGATCACACATTCCTCGATCTCTTTAAAGCCGAAACTGCAAAAAATGTAATCACCCCATCAAGGCCTGCAATAACGGCAAAACTTGCTCTATCTGCTCTGAAGTTTACTCCCCCGACGACGAATATTGCACCAAGCCTAAATTCTGCATCAACTGCAAACACCTCGACAACCCTTATCATAGCCCATTGGACAAGAATAATGGCTATTAAAACAATAGAAAATGTTGATTTCAAAAGCGTCACAATAATCTACATTCAGCGTCACTTCCACAGTTCCACTCCTTACTCCCAAGTTGCATCACAAGCTCCTTCAAATTCTGACGCCCCAGTTCTGGATAAATCGGACACTCATGAGATCACGACCTACGACGACATCATACAACCTACCCCACAAACTCCAAGCGAGGACAACATCGAAATGGATATAACAGAATCTAACAGAACCAGTAAGAACACTCTAATCGAAAATCGAAAACAGTAAATACAAACCAACTAAAACGCTCAAAGTAACCCAAACAACACTGCAAAGGAACGATATTAATTAATCAATGCTGCGCCAACTCTTACAGGGGCGCAGCACTCCTGATACATAACTAGAGGCTCAATAGATAAAAAACTTAAACTAAACATAATATCAGCCTACTTTTCACCAACTAAGTCCTTTAACAGAAGTAACTTAAAAAACGTCCTTAGCTTCGACAACACACCCACTTTAGTCCTCGGAGACTTTAATAGTTGGCACCCCTACTGGGGCTCTCCTAGCTCTAATACCATAGGCAATATTATTGCCAAATTCCTAGACCGTTCAGATTTCATTTTATTAAACGACAAAAGCCCCACCCACTTCTCCACTCACAACTCTTTCACACATATAGACTTATCCTTTTCTTCATTCACTATAGGCCCAGAATTTCTCTGGGAAACAATAGACGACCTCTACGGAAGTGATCACCTTCCTATCTTAATCTCAATGAACCTTAATACCTCCCCCTCACCCTACACCTCCAAACCCTCCTTTAACTTAAAGAAAGCAAAGTAGACAGTCTACTCTTAGTAGACCACAAAGCAACAAGATCCCTTTCCCTCAAGAAATATTTGTAACGTCCAACGAGGTTTGGGATGCTTTGGACCCGTCCTTGCTGGGGCACGCGTTATGTTCCGGCTCTTGCTCGTCGGCTTTGGGGGTGGAGGTCTTGCTTCGGACGGATCATGCTAGTTACACATTAATAATACTAAGTCGAGAAAATTTGCGTGCTAGCGACAATAAAATGCAAGAAATA